GGCGACGAATGTGACGGTGGAGATCGAGGCGGAGGAAATGGATGAGGGTCTGAGTTTGATGGAGGATTTGAAGTCGGGAGGTTTGAATATCAGTAGGCACACGAAAATGCCAGGAAGGGTCAAAATAGTTGGTTTCATCAAGAAAAGGTTTGAGGTAAAAATGAACTGCTCATCTACTTTCAATACTAAAACCCAAATGACTAAAAGGGAAGGTTGTGATAAGCATGTAAAAATTTATGATTAATGAAGAATTATGGGAGGAATTTGAAACCAAATGGCTATTAGGTTCGTAGTGTTGAATTACGAGTAGTATTAAAATTTTTAATTATGGTACGTAGGTTGTTTATAAATTTTTTGGATTATATTACTTTTTACTTTGCTTATGTAACTATATTAGTACGTTGGATCGACAGTGAATTTGTTTGACCATGAGTGAGTGTGACTCCCAAACCTTTGTAACGACTCATGTCTAGGATTTGACATGGTCACGTTGCCTACTCTTTGTTTCTAAGAGTGAAAGCTATTCCCACGAACTAACTCGAGTTCTTCCTGCATGTTTTTTTCCTTGCTCACATGCGTCCTAGAAAAATTCTCCACAGGTTACGTGCATCATAGAATTGCTCCAAGCAAAACATACCTAACCGTGAAGTTCTTATAATTGTGCTGTCGAAAAGGAAAATGAACCTTATATGGAGTGACTATCCATGTTCTAAAGTATTTCTTAGCTATCATATCCTCACGATCCCTCTCGTTTGGAAGTGGTTTCGATTCATTCATGTACCCCTCATTTGCTCGGGTGTCACATACCTACCAACTTTCACATTAGTTCGTTTTCAAACCACATCTTACTGGGAGAGATACTGCTTTAATACAATTTGTATCGTCTCATGTCCAAGATTCAGAGCCATCAGGTATCGAATCTGGATTACAAATCTTGATCTATCCTAGACATGACGCGTTACAATTTTGGTCGACCCTAAAAGCTTGATCAAACAGTTTAGAATGATCCACTAATCCAAAACCAGTTCGGTGTAATGGGTCGTCCCTTCAAAAGTTTCCCTGAGTTTAACGACGTGACTTTTTAAACTTCACATTAACCCGCCATCAATTCCAAAGAAGAGAATTTGTTTGAAAAAAGAAGGCCAGATGGCCAATTTATTTTTATTAGTGGGGACATAAAATTATAGACTTTCATTTTTTCTCCTTCCACACAATCAAATTCAAAAGGTGACATTTTCCAAGCGAGGGCATCGAGGCTCATAATACAAGTTCTTACCAAACTACTCATCGAATAGCCAAACTACACGTCGAATTGTTTACGGTAAAAAAGACAAAGAAATCTTAATTTATTTATTATATGCTTTGGACCTTCTAAATATGCGACATCAAAATTCAACGTTTAGAATATTCTACTCTCTCCCCTAGAATATATATATGTATATATATATTAGCTTGTGCTAGTCTCGTTTAAATCTTTTTTTAACTATGCAATTGGAGACGGACAACCATAATCTAAATAAATAAATTAATAAATGCATAGTATTGTATGAAAAGTGTATAAATAAAATATTTTCAATAACTTGATAGGTTAACTATTTTATTTTTATTAATTTAGATTATTAAAATAATTTTATGCATTTGTGAATTATTAGGTGGAAAAATGTCTCCAACTCAAAAAAAATGTAATGGGGGTATTATAGAAGAACTTATCATAAACGTAGTTAGCTACTATTTTAACTTTTAATTTGAGACAGGAATAAGCTTCGAGATTTACTTAAGAAAAAGGGGCCATAATGTTAAAATATTGGTTCTGTGGGCAAGATATGTATGAACGTTGCTAGCTTTGTTAGAAAAATTGGCTTATTACTCAACAAATTATCAAAGGTGGAAACACAATTTATTAACAAAGCAACTGAATTAAGAAAAATGGAAGGAGTTTCACGGTTACATGGATCTTTGATCTTTTGAACAAATTTCAACCTATTAATGAGATATATAAGCAACCTTTGGGCTATGCTTCTCTCACCCCGATTCATAAAAGAGAAGAAAAAATGGGAAGAACTTTTCAAGTTGTTCTTTTTCTAGCATTGTTTGTGCTTCTACCTCCTTCTGTTTATTCTTTACCGTTGTCAACAAACGGAAGGTGGATCGTTGATTCGACAACAGGGCGTCGAGTGAAGCTTGTGTGCGTGAATTGGCCTTCCCACACACAGAGCATGCTAATAGAAGGTCTCAACCACAGGCCATTAAAAGAGCTGGCAGATGAGGCAATCAAGTTGAGGTTTAATTGTGTACGACTCACGTATGCAACTCAAATGTTCACTCGTTATGCAAATAGGACAGTTGAAGAGAATTTTGACCTTCTCGATTTAGAGCAAGCAAAAGCCGGATTGGCTCAATATAATCCTTTTGTGTTGAACAAGACTATTGCTGAAGCCTATGAAGCTGTTGTTGATGTGCTTGGAGAGAGTGGTTTAATGGTGATTGCCGACAACCATATGAGTCAGCCAAGATGGTGTTGCTCCCTTGACGATGGCAATGGATTTTTTGGAGACCGCTATTTTGACCCTCAAGAATGGCTACAAGGTCTTAGCTTAGTTGCTCAACGCTTTTCCAAGAAACCAACGGTACGTAAAAATTAAGGAAAATTCTCACACTCTTGAAACTAAACTCAAACATTTAAAGACTTCTATAATTTTTCACTAACAAAAGAACATTCTTTTGTTATGACATTTAGGTGGTTGGAATGAGCCTACGAAACGAGATACGAGGAACCAATGAAAATGCAAATGATTGGAACAATTATGTTACTCAAGGAGTAACAACAATCCACAACATTAACCCAAATGTTTTAGTGATTGTTTCGGGCCTAAATTTTGATAATGATCTTCGATGCTTAAAAGAGAAGCCCTTGAATGCAAGCGCCTTAGACAACAAGTTGGTTTTTGAGGTGCACTTGTATTCGTTCAGTGGAGATGCAGAGAGTAAATTTATAAACCAGCCACTAAATAATATTTGTGCAGATATTATCAATGGCTTTGTAGACCATGCTGAATTTGTTAGAGAAGGACCAAACCCATTTCCTTTGTTTGTCAGCGAATATGGGTACGATCAGAGAGAGGTTAACGATGCAGAAAATCGGTTCATGAGTTGCTTCACAGCTCATCTTGCACAAGAAGATTTAGATTGGGCATTATGGACTTGGCAAGGTAGCTATTATTATAGGGAAGGTCAGGCAGGCCCGGCAGAAACTTTTGGAGTTCTCGACTCCAATTGGACTCAAATTAAAAATCCAAACTTTGTCCAGAAGTTTCAACTATTGCAGACTATGTTGCAAGGTAAGTATAAATATATTAACGATTTTGAATATATGGATCTATAACAAGTGTAAAAGACATTTTTTTACGGCGCACAGATCCAAATTCCAATGCATCGTTCTCGTATGTTATATATCATCCACAAAGTGGCCAATGCATCCAAGTCTCAAATGACAACAAAGATATGTTCATGGGTAATTGCTCCAACTCAGGTCGATGGACTCATGACAATGATAGCACTCCAATTAGGATGTCAAGCACTGGTTTATGCTTAAAAACAAGCGGAGAAGGCCTTATGCCATCTCTCTCAACAGATTGCTTCGGCCCTCAGAGTTCTTGGAGAGCCATTTCAAACACTAAGCTTCATTTGGCCACCATAACTCAAGATGGGAAGAGCCTTTGCTTGCAGGTTGAAAACTCTAATTCTTCAAAAATTGTGACAAACTCTTGTATTTGCACTGATGGTGCTCCAACTTGCCTCGAAGACACCCAAAGTCAATGGTTTGAACTCGTTGAAACCAACACATTGTGAGTTGCTTATGTATTGGGAAGAATAAATATATGACATGCCCGACTTTGAATTGGCCCCTATTTTATCTCTAATTCTATTCATGCTCGTGCTTAATTATAACCGATTTTATTTATCGTACAAACATATACGGAAAATAATACGAACAATAATGATCGTATAAAAGATTGGACATATAATAAACAATAGAAAAAAATTATTGACCATTTAACTACGAATTTAAGCATAAAATCGACAACCCTAATATGACTCCGGCATTTTCAAAACTTGTCTGCCAACACTAAATTCAAATTCCAACAACTACTAGTATATTGGACCAAATTCTCAATTCCCATTTTAAACTAATTAATAAACCAAGCAACATTTGTTGCAACAAGTTTGAACCGTTGGGGTTGAGGATCATCCATGCAACTTCCCTCGTCTTTAAAGCAAATGCATTTCTTCACAACAACTGAAGTACCAGATTCCTTCTCCAAGCAAAAATGGTCTTCGCCAATTGGAGATTTGCTTTCGAAGCCACCGTCCAATTGCTTCCATCACCAGAGCATTCGTCGGATACCACCGGTGCTTTTCCATCTCCGACGGATTTCAAACGCTGCCCGTAGGACAACAACTTCATCGGACTTGCATCTGCACTATGGTTCCATTGGTTCGGAGTGGCACAATCGCCGAGTTAAACTTCTCCTTTATCCTCGGATTTGACACATTGCCCTGATACGGGATGTAGCATTATGTATGGTATTGGTGCTTTAGAATTTGGATCCGCAAGAAACGAGCTTTAGTTTCAAATTCTAACTAAAGAAATATATAAATGTTTGATTTGTTATAATGGAGGGTTAGATTGAGAAGCAACCAATTAACCTTGATTCACTCTCTCGATTAAGTGGAAGCATTTGTTTAAGTGTTGGGGGTACTATCTTTAGTCCATGAGTGATCCATAACACCAAAACTTTCATCTAATTATCTTAATAATCATTTAAAACTCACCATTCTTCCTTCTCAGACGGTGGCATACTCGTTGTGGCTAGTTTCTTCGTGCGGAATCCTAATGTCGCATCGCTCAAATACTCAAAAGCCACGACGGTGATTTACTACCACGGCGAGGTGATTGGAGAGGGGGAGACGCCGGCGGATTGACGAAGGCAAAGGACACGATGGCGACGAATGTGACGGTGGAGATCGAGGCGGAGGAAATGGATGAGGGTCTGAGTTTGATGGAGGATTTGAAGTCGGGAGGTTTGAATATCAGTAGGCACACGAAAATGCCAGGAAGGGTCAAAATAGTTGGTTTCATCAAGAAAAGGTTTGAGGTAAAAATGAACTGCTCATCTACTTTCAATACTAAAACCCAAATGACTAAAAGGGAAGGTTGTGATAAGCATGTAAAAATTTATGATTAATGAAGAATTATGGGAGGAATTTGAAACCAAATGGCTATTAGGTTCGTAGTGTTGAATTACGAGTAGTATTAAAATTTTTAATTATGGTACGTAGGTTGTTTATAAATTTTTTGGATTATATTACTTTTTACTTTGCTTATGTAACTATATTAGTACGTTGGATCGACAGTGAATTTGTTTGACCATGAGTGAGTGTGACTCCCAAACCTTTGTAACGACTCATGTCTAGGATTTGACATGGTCACGTTGCCTACTCTTTGTTTCTAAGAGTGAAAGCTATTCCCACGAACTAACTCGAGTTCTTCCTGCATGTTTTTTTCCTTGCTCACATGCGTCCTAGAAAAATTCTCCACAGGTTACGTGCATCATAGAATTGCTCCAAGCAAAACATACCTAACCGTGAAGTTCTTATAATTGTGCTGTCGAAAAGGAAAATGAACCTTATTGGTATATGGAGTGACTATCCATGTTCTAAAGTATTTCTTAGCTATCATATCCTCACGATCCCTCTCGTTTGGAAGTGGTTTCGATTCATTCATGTACCCCTCATTTGCTCGGGTGTCACATACCTACCAACGTTCACATTAGTTCATTTTCAAACCACATCTTACTGGGAGAGATACTGCTCTAATACAATTTGTATCGTCTCATGTCCAAGATTCAGAGCCATCAGGTATCGAATCTGGATTACAAATCTTGATTTATCCTAGACATGACGCGTTACAATTTTGGTCGACCCTAAAAGCTTGATCAAACAGTTTAGAATGATCCACTAATCCAAAACCAGTTCGGTGTAATGGGTCGTTCCTTCAAAAGTTTCCCTGAGTTTAGTGACGTGACTTTTTAAACTTCTCATTAACCCGCCATCAATAAAAAAGAAAGAGAATTTGTTTGAAAAAAGAAGGCCAGATGGCCAATTTATTTTTATTAGTGGGGACATAAATTATAGACTTTCATTTTTTTTCCTTCCACACAATCAAATTCAAAAGGTGACATTTTCCAAGCGAGGGCATCGAGGTTCATAATATAAGTTCTTACCAAACTACTCATCGAATAGCCAAACTACACGTCGAATTGTTTACGGTAAAAAAGACAAAGCAATCTGATTTTATTTATTATATGCTTTGGACCTTCTAAATATGCGACATCAAAATTCAATGTTTAGAATATTCTACTCTCTCCTCTAGAATATATATATATATATATATATATTAGTTTGTGCTAGTGTCGTTTAAATCTTTTTTTAACTATGCAATTGGAAACGGACATAGCTCTAATTTGAGTGAACTAAAAAAAGACGTTGAAATCATTATTCCCAACCTTACACTGTGGACAAAATACTGAGAATTGTTAATAATTGAACGTAGGTTTGTTATCATCAAAACATCAATTAATTAGTTGGACATTAAGGGCCAAAAAGCCAACACGGAGAAAGATTGCAACTCAGCATTTGAGTGTCTCGCTTTTGGGTTGTGACTATAGTGTGCTATATTGGGTCGAGAACGTGCATGGGACGGACGCTGCGATGTTGGCTAAAGACATGCACATGGACTTAATTGATCGCGTATCTTGATTAGCTGTTCTGATGAGTTTTTGTCGGGAACACTGATGTTCAACTGTGAACTCCTGGTTCTAACCTAGATTCGTATCCGACCTAATGCACATGGACTTGATTGATCGCGTATCTTGATTAACTGTTCTGATGAGTTTTTGTCGAGAACACTGATGTTCGGCTGTGAACTCCTGGTTCTAACCTAGATTCATATCCGACCTAATTTTTTGCATTTTTAATCTCTCTACATTTTTTTATTCATTCATTTCCACTGCTTCTCCTTTCACTCTATGGTTTCTCTCTGGCAATGGTTTCGCACCACTTGTTCTGTTGTGCTTCCTCTCGTGGGGTTAGGATGATGAGATCCCGTGGGGTCAGGACGATGAGATCCCTACATACAACAGTGACTTTGAGAACAAAATTTCAAATATGAAAAATAGAGGCTTACTGATGTGAGAACTTGACTTGGAGTCGAACAAGGAACATTAATTGTTGCAATTAGGGGACATGGCGTGGGGGTTGGATCGAGAATGTGAAATTTGTTGAGGTTGAAAAAATTTTGGCAGCTCGCCAAAATCCTGTTGAGGACTATTGGGAGTGAGTCTCACATTGGTTAATTTAGTTGAAGATCATGGGTTTATAAGTGAGGAATACTATCTCTATTGGTACGAGGCCTTTTGAGGAAGCCCAAATCAAAGCCATGAGAGCTTATGCTCAAAGTGAACAATATCATATCATTGTAGAGAGTCATGATTACTAACAAATCCATGTGATTACACATCTAAAAGAACCTTTATGTTTTAGGTTCATGAAATTAAGTCCCTCCCTATTGTAAAAAAGACATCAAAGAAAATAATTCTTTTCTTTGTTGGGATGATTATTCTCTATCGAAAAACGAGATGTGAAATACAACTATACAACTTACTGTCCATAGGCACTTTTCATTATATGACCACTCGTATGCAATTTGAATTTTCAAGAGCTTACCATAAAATTTTTCCCCCAAACATGGAGCCCATTGATTTCATTACAAATCTTTTGAATTGGGCCTTTGTTCTTAGCATAGGGGTTTCTTTGGTTTTGGAGTCTTAAAACCTTGGTTCTTTGTTCTTAGCATTCTTTATGCCTTTTCATTGTTTGGGTTTGATAAGCATACTAAATACATGTTCTTAAGGTGGCCTCCTGATTACTTAAAAGTCAAAGTCTCATCTCGAGCTCATTCTTATTTAGGGAAGCATCTAGATTACTTAAAAATCAAAAGCTAGCCTTCGAATTGATTAAAAGTAATGCTAACTTTGAGCTCCTCCTGGATTAGGGTCGTCGCTTAAAAACAAAGGACTATCTTAAAGGTTTACATGAGATAATATCCTTATTGCTTAACAATCAAGTGCTAATCTTTGAGCTCTTCTTGAGTAAGGGTAGTCCTTTGGTTACTTATAAACAAAGGGCTATCCTCAAACTTACCACGAGGTATCATCATGATTTTTTTAAAATCAAAGATAAATATAGAGCTCATCTTGACTTAGGGTAGCCTCTCGATTGGTTAAAATTAAAGTTGAACCCTGAGCATAACATAATCTTTTAACACACCGAAGTAATGGTACTTAATAACCTTTAAGGTATTGAAGGGATTCATTCGATTGCATAATTCTTAAGTTTTATAGATAAGGTATTCTATTCTTTTTCCTTATGTCATGAACCTTTCATAATAATATGCATAAGTTTTTCATGGTATAATAAAATCATAACGTATCCTTTGACAATTCTAGAAGGATCTTGAATCTTGGTTAGGGGTCGTTAGATGTAACGTTATCATTTCCCACAAGCTTTGGCTTAAACACCTAACGTGCTCTAAAAGCTTTGAGATTTTGTAAAATTCTTTTTAAGGTCATACCTAAATAATTTATAAGCTTGAGAAATCATTAGGGTCATAAAAACTTTTTAGGGTTTTTATAGGGGCAATTTGATCATTTATCTCAATTCTTAGGATCATAAAAACTTCTTAAAGTCTTTATAGGGACATTTTGGTTATTTACCTTCTTTGGTTCTTTGCCTCTTCCAAACTTTTTAAAATATTTAGGAGCAATAAACCTCACCAGAAATCCTAACGGTTGAGTCTTAAAATATTTTAAAGATCATTATTAGAATTTTGGTCATTTTACTCTTAAATCTTGGATTAGTACCTAAACACGCTTCAATGGCTTAAAAACTTTATATTATCTTTTAGTAAGGGACATTTTGATTTATTTTTCATCGATACTTAGTTTAGCTACTTATCCTTATCCAATGATCACCAAATTTCATATATAACCCTAACTTATCATATTATGCCTACCATTAAAATTTCATGGGTAACAAAGTTCGTTTGATAGATTATTTTAACGTTATTAGATTCACGAGCAAAACGTTTGGTTTAGGTCCTTAACTTTTGGTTCTATACTGTTTTCTTCAATATTCATTTAAATCTAAATTACTTAAGGTTCATATTGCATTCAAATTGATTGTTGCATGTATTTCATAAGAATAGTATAAGATTGCTACTCACTTTATCATTGAAGTTCGGGTCCTTGGTTCTCGAGTTTCGAGTATCTGAATTGCTTCAAAATTTTTTTGGTAGATCCATATTTTAGTGCAGTTTTGATAACCATAAAGAATTTTATGAGAATCGGTCTGAATTGAGTTTATCATTATCTTCTTCCTCGAGATAGAGGAAGAAGTGTGTGGCCTGTTGCGAGGTTGCTTTGAGAATCGTCTTCTACAACCCTTCAATTTCTTCATGAAACTTGAAAACAATATTGCAAGGAAGAGCTAGAGATAAAAAATTCACCTCGTGATGAGGTNTCAAAAAAAATGTAGTGGGGGTATTATATAAGAACTTATCATAAACGTAGGTAGCTACTATTTTAACTTTTAATTTGAGACAGGAATAAGCTTCGAGTTTTACTTAAGAAAAAGGGGCCATAATGTTCAAATATTGGTTCTGTGGACAAGATATGTATGAACGTTGCTAGCTTTGTTAGAAAAATTTGCTTATTACTCAACAAATTATCAAAGGTGGAAACACAATTTATTAACAAAGCAACTGAATTAAGAAAAATGGAAGGAGTTTCACGGTTACATGGATCTTTGATCTTTTGAACAAATTTCAACCTTTTAATGAGATATATAAGCAACCTTTGGGCTATGCTTCTCTCACCCCGATTCATAAAAGAGAAGAAAAAATGGGAAGAACTTTTCAAGTTGTTCTTTTTCTAGCATTGTTTGTGCTTCTACCTCCTTCTGTTTATTCTTTACCGTTGTCAACAAACGGAAGGTGGATCGTTGATTCGACAACAGGGCGTCGAGTGAAGCTTGTGTGCGTGAATTGGCCTTCCCACACACAGAGCATGCTAATAGAAGGTCTCAACCACAGGCCATTAAAAGAGCTGGCAGATGAGGCAATCAAGTTGAGGTTTAATTGTGTACGACTCACGTATGCAACTCAAATGTTCACTCGTTATGCAAATAGGACAGTTGAAGAGAATTTTGACCTTCTCGATTTAGAGCAAGCAAAAGCCGGATTGGCTCAATATAATCCTTTTGTGTTGAACAAGACTATTGCTGAAGCCTATGAAGCTGTTGTTGATGTGCTTGGAGAGAGTGGTTTAATGGTGATTGCCGACAACCATATGAGTCAGCCAAGATGGTGTTGCTCCCTTGACGATGGCAATGGATTTTTTGGAGACCGCTATTTTGACCCTCAAGAATGGCTACAAGGTCTTAGCTTAGTTGCTCAACGCTTTTCCAAGAAACCAACCGTACGTAAAAATTAAGGAAAATTCTCACACTCTTGAAACTAAACTCAAACATTTAAAGACTTCTATAATTTTTCACTAACAAAAGAACATTCTTTTGTTATGACATTTAAGTGGTTGGAATGAGCCTACAAAACGAGATACGAGGAACCAATGAAAATGCAAATGATTGGAACAATTATGTTACTCAAGGAGTAACAACAATCCACAACATTAACCCAAATGTTTTAGTGATTGTTTCGGGCCTAAATTTTGATAATGATCTTCGATGCTTAAAAGAGAAGCCCTTGAATGCAAGCGCCTTAGACAACAAGTTGGTTTTTGAGGTGCACTTGTATTCGTTCAGTGGAGATGCAGAGAGTAAATTTATAAACCAGCCACTAAATAATATTTGTGCAGATATTATCAATGGCTTTGTAGACCATGCTGAATTTGTTAGAGAAGGACCAAACCCATTTCCTTTGTTTGTCAGCGAATATGGGTACGATCAGAGAGAGGTTAACGATGCAGAAAATCGGTTCATGAGTTGCTTCACAGCTCATCTTGCACAAGAAGATTTAGATTGGGCATTATGGACTTGGCAAGGTAGCTATTATTATAGGGAAGGTTGTGATAAGCATGTAAAAATTTATGATTAATGAAGAATTATGGGAGGAATTTGAAACCAAATGGCTATTAGGTTCGTAGTGTTGAATTACGAGTAGTATTAAAAAATTTAATTATGGTACGTAGGTTGTTTATACATTTTTTGGATTATATTACTTTTTACTTTGCTTATGTAACTATATTAGTACGTTGGATCGACAGTGAATTTGTTTGACCATGAGTGAGTGTGACTCCCAAACCTTTGTAACGACTCATGTCTAGGATTTGACATGGGCACGTTGCCTACTCTTTGTTTCTAAGAGTGAAAGCTATTCCCACGAACTAACTCGAGTTCTTCCTGCATGTTTTTTTCCTTGCTCACATGCGTCCTAGAAAAATTCTCCACAGGTTACGTGCATCATAGAATTTCTCCAAGCAAAACATACCTAACCGTGAAGTTCTTATAATTGTGCTGTCGAAAAGGAAAATGAACCTTATTGGTATATGGAGTGACTATCCATGTTCTAAAGTATTTCTTAGCTATCATATCCTCACGATCCCTCTCGTTTGGAAGTGGTTTCGATTCATTCATGTACCCCTCATTTGCTCGGGTGTCACATACCTACCAACTTTCACATTAGTTCGTTTTCAAACCACATCTTACTGGGAGAGATACTGCTCCAATACAATTTGTATCGTCTCATGTTCAAGATTCAGAGCCATCAGGTATCGAATCTGGATTACAAATCTTGATCTATCCTAGACATGACGCGTTACAATTTTGGTCGACACTAAAAGCTTGATCAAACAGTTTAGAATGATCCGCGAATCCAAAACCAGTTCGGTGTAATGGGTCGTCCCTTCAAAAGTTGGCCTGAGTTTAGCGACGTGACTTTTTAAACTTCACATTAACCCGCCATCAATAAAAAAGAAAGAGAATTTGTTTGAAAAAAGAAGGCCAGATGGCCAATTTATTTTTATTAGTGGGGACATAAATTATAGACTTTCATTTTTTTTCCTTCCACACAATCAAATTCAAAAGGTGACATTTTCCAAGCGAGGGCATCGAGGCTCATAATATAAGTTCTTACCAAACTACTCATCGAATAGCCAAACTACACGTCGAATTGTTTACGGTAAAAAAGACAAAGCAATCTGATTTTATTTATTATATGCTTTGGACCTTCTAAATATGCGACATCAAAATTCAATGTTTAGAATATTCTACTCTCTCCCCTAGAATATATATATATATATATATATTAGTTTGTGCTAGTGTCGTTTAAATCTTTTTTTAACTATGCAATTGGAAACGGACATAGCTCTAATTTGAGTGAACTAAAAAAAGACGTTGAAATCATTATTCCCAACCTTACACTGTGGACAAACTACTGAGAATTGTTAATAATTGAACGTAGGTTTGTTATCATCAAAACATCAATTAATTAGTTGGACATTAAGGGCCAAAAAGCCAACACGGAGAAAGATTGCAACTCAGCATTTGAGTGTCTCGCTTTTGGGTTGTGACTATAGTGTGCTATATTGGGTCGAGAACGTGCATGGGACGGACGCTGCGATGTTGGCTAAAGACATGCACATGGACTGAATTGATCGCGTATCTTGATTAGCTGTTCTGATGAGTTTTTGTCGGGAACACTGATGTTCAACTGTGAACTCCTGGTTCTAACCTAGATTCGTATCCGACCTAATGCACATGGACTGGATTGATCGCGTATCTTGATTAACTGTTCTGATGAGTTTTTGTCGAGAACACTGATGTTCGGCTGTGAACTCCTGGTTCTAACCTAGATTCATATCCGACCTAATTTTTTGCATTTTTAATCTCTCTACATTTTTTTATTCATTCATTTCCACTGCTTCTCCTTTCACTCTATGGTTTCTCTCTGGCAATGGTTTCGCACCACTTGTTCTGCTGTGCTTCCTCTCGTGGGGTTAGGATGATGAGATCCCGTGGGGTCAGGACGATGAGATCCCTACATACAACAGTGACTTTGAGAACAAAATTTCAAATATGAAAAATAGAGGCTTACTGATGTGAGAACTTGACTTGGAGTCGAACAAGGAACATTAATTGTTGCAATTAGGGGACATGGCGTGGGGGTTGGATCGAGAATGTGAAATTTGTTGAGGTTGAAAAAATTTTGGCAGCTCGCCAAAATCCTGTTGAGGACTATTGGGAGTGAGTCTCACATTGGTTAATTTAGTTGAAGATCATGGGTTTATAAGTGAGGAATACTATCTCCATTGGTACGAGGCCTTTTGAGGAACCCCAAATCAAAGCCATGAGAGCTTATGCTCAAAGTGAACAATATCATATCATTGTAGAGAGTCATGATTACTAACAAATCCATGTGATTACGCATCTAAAAGAACCTTTATGTTTTAGGTTCATGAAATTAAGTCCCTCCCTATTGTAAAAAGGACATCAAGGAAAATAATTCTTTTCTTTGTTGGGATGATTATTCTCTATCGAAAAACGAGATGTGAAATACAACTATACAACTTACTGTCCATGGGCACTTTTCATTATATGACCACTCGTATGCAATTTGAATTTTCAAGAGCTTACCATAAAATTTTTCCCCCAAACATGGAGCCCATTGATTTCATTACAAATCTTTTGAATTGGGCCTTTGTTCTTAGCATAGGGGTTTCTTTGGTTTTGGAGTCTTAAAACCTTGGTTCTTTGTTCTTAGCATTCTTTATGCCTTTTCATTGTTTGGGTTTGATAAGCATACTAAATACATGTTCTTAAGGTGGCCTCCTGATTACTTAAAAGTCAAAGTCTCATCTCGAGCTCATTCTTATTTAGGGAAGCATCTAGATTACTTAAAAATCAAAAGCTAGCCTTCGAATTGATTAAAAGTAATGCTAACTTTGAGCTCCTCCTGGATTAGGGTCGTCGCTTAAAAACAAAGGACTATCTTAAAGGTTTACATGAGATAATATCCTTATTGCTTAACAATCAAGTGCTAATCTTTGAGCTCTTCTTGAGTAAGGGTAGTCCTTTGGTTACTTATAAACAAAGGGCTATCCTCAAACTTACCACGAGGTATCATCATGATTTTTTTAAAATCAAAGATAAATATAGAGCTCATCTTGACTTAGGGTAGCCTCTCGATTGGTTAAAATTAAAGTTGAACCCTGAGCATAACATAATCTTTTAACACACCGAAGTAATGGTACTTAATAACCTTTAAGGTATTGAAGGGATTCATTCGATTGCATAATTCTTAAGTTTTATAGATAAGGTATTCTATTCTTTTTCCTTATGTCATGAACCTTTCATAATAATATGCATAAGTTTTTCATGGTATAATAAAATCATAACGTATCCTTTGACAATTCTAGAAGGATCTTGAATCTTGGTTAGGGGTCGTTAGATGTAACGTTATCATTTCCCACAAGCTTTGGCTTAAACACCTAACGTGCTCTAAAAGCTTTGAGATTTTGTAAAATTCTTTTTAAGGTCATACCTAAATAATTTATAAGCTTGAGAAATCATTAGGGTCATAAAAACTTTTTAGGGTTTTTATAGGGGCAATTTGATCATTTATCTCAATTCTTAGGATCATAAAAACTTCTTAAAGTCTTTATAGGGACATTTTGGTTATTTACCTTCTTTGGTTCTTTGCCTCTTCCAAACTTTTTAAAATATTTAGGAGCAATAAACCTCACCAGAAATCCTAACGGTTGAGTCTTAAAATATTTTAAAGATCATTATTAGAATTTTGGTCATTTTACTCTTAAATCTTGGATTAGTACCTAAACACGCTTCAATGGCTTAAAAACTTTATATTATCTTTTACTAAGGGACATTATGATTTATTTTTCATCGATACTTAGTTTAGCTACTTATCCTTATCCAATGATCACCAAATTTCATATATAACCCTAACTTATCATATTATGCCTACCATTAAAATTTCATGGGTAACAAAGTTCGTTTGATAGATTATTTTAACGTTATTAGATTCTCGAGCAAAACGTTTGGTTTAGGTCCTTAACTTTTGGTTCTATACTGTTTTCTTCAATATTCATTTAAATCTAAATTACTTAAGGTTCATATTGCATTCAAATTGATTGTTGCATGTATTTCATAAGAATAGTATAAGATTGCTACTCACTTTATCATTGAAGTTCGGGTCCTTGGTTCTCGAGTTTCGAGTATCTGAATTGCTTCAAAATTTTTTTGGTAGATCCATATTTTAGTGTAGTTTTGATAACCATAAAGAATTTTATGAGAATCGGTCTGAATTGAGTTTATCATTATCTTCTTCCTCGAGATAGAGGAAGAAGTGTGTGGCCTGTTGCGAGGTTGCTCTGAGAATCGTCTTCTACAACCCTTCAATTTCTTCATGAAACTTGAAAACAATATTGCAAGGAAGAGCTAGAGATAAAAAATTCACCTCGTGATGAGGTTTCTTACTTATCTTTCTCTCAACCTTGAGAATTGATTTTGGAAGGATGAGTTCTCGCATATGTCCCCAATTTCTCGATTCTTTCTCTCGACATGAAACTCATTTTCATAGATTCTAAAGGTTATTGAGAAATTCGATCGAGAGCTCTTCAGCCCTTAACTTCTTTATGAAACCTTCTCCTCTCATCCTCTTGAAGCTGATGGTATCTTGGTTTAAAGCATAATGGACCTTAGTGAAAAATTTGGTATTTTTCTAAAATTCATAAAAAACGAATCTTATAAGTTTTTTCTTCGATTCTCCTTGATCTTGAGGTCTTTAGCTTTCGTTGTCTTCATGACAATTCTTATTGAGTGCCTAGAAACTGATGGGTATTAGTTTGGATAGATAAATTTTCTTGTAGTCTCGAATTGAAATTTTAAATTTATTCCCTCCCACGGCCATGAAAACTTAAATTGAGGTAATGTGTTTGAGATGTTTTCAGCTCTCGTGTCTTCATGAAACTTGTTGGGGAGCTAATTTCAAAGTTGTAAGAATTGCTTTGAGGAAATTTGATGGACCGTAGTCTCTTAACTTTGGAAAACCCGAGAGCAATGGAACCCATAATCTAAAAG